GAGGGGACCCAGCTGGGGAAGCGAGGAAGGCGGCGCGGGAGGGAGGCCCGAGGTGCGCGCCGGGCGCCGGAGCCGGCCGGGAGACCACCCCGAGACTCGGGCCGTCACACCCAGGCTCGCGGGTCCCCCGTGGATGGAGACTCCGCTGCCTGCTCCCAGCCCACGGGCACGCAGCTTCGTCCAGCCCCGAGAGACGAGGCGGGCACGCGGGGCCCAAGGCCGCACCAAGTTAAAAAATTCCGTAGCCAAAGCCACGCGACCGCAAGCTTCTGGGTTTTGTTCTGGTTTGTTTGGTCTTCGCGTCCAAAGTGGCCGCAAATGTACTTCCATTAATCACACAACGAACACTGAGTTTGTTTCGGTTTGCGCTACAACGCGACTCGAATTCTTTATGAAAGTGGATCGGTTTTCATTTTAACCAAGTTATAGCTGGCACCAATAAGGACAGTTTATTTCCGACTGAGAGTAACTGCCGAGCGGTAACAATCTGGCTGCGCCACCCCGCGCCGCCTAGCTTTTATGGTAATGGCTCCGCGTTTCATGAGAGTGGCCCTTATCCGCTCGTGGTTTCCGGGCCTTTTGTATCCTGCACAAAGTAATAACGAGGTCCAGGATTGGACTTCTTCTGCTCTCTGCTTGCGCTGTTGAGGCGTGTTTGAAGCGCTACACGACTTTTCGATCCCTTGCGAACTGTAGCTTAGTTTTCTTAAATGAAGGCCTGGCGGGACGAGACGGGTGTGGGCGGAAAGGTCCTGAGATCGCTGGGGAAGAATCGCAGGGGAACGGAGAACCTTAGAGGAGTGGGGCGGGGGTGGGGCGGCCGGCGCCAATCGTGGGGCAGGTTGCAGGGGTGGGCACTCCAGGAAGGGCTTAGCACGCTGCTCAGGCCTGGGCAGCTTCCTGGTGAATCCTCCCAGGAGGCCTCTCCTGGGTTCTGAAGGGAATTTTAAAGCACACACTGCAGCTTCCCCCAGTCTCCGTGAGGTAGGGAATCACAGCATAGGAAGGTATTTCCAGCCAGCGAGTGTGGACTTCTTTATCTTTTTTATTGGTGTGGACTTCTCAGACTGAAATGTTCTACCCCGCTGATGCTATCACTCATTAAAGCAAAGCTTTTAGGACATTTTGTCTTTGTACATATCTTAAAATGCTCTACTCCCCCATCTTAAATTTAATGAAGATTTGTGATCTCTGTCAGCAAGGATGTGTATAGGCAAGGCAGTGTGATACATAAGAAACTTCTATTTTACTGCCAAAATGTATAAAGTATATTCAGTGGAACCCTGCATATATAATGTTTGATAGAGGTCTTTTTCACCGCATAAATATAGTTTCTAACTCCCTGCTGCTTACAACATACTCAGATAGGCATAAAACAAGGATTTTTAAGGATTTTTAAGGTGAGACGAAAGTAAGACTAAGATAATATGCTAATCATCTAAAGTTACAAAAAATCCCCTCAGCAGTTGCAAAAAATTTTAAAAACTACACTACAGATCATGATAAATGTCCACTTCTCCCTACCCACCCTACTTTTTTGCCTAGGACAGTTGCTTTTAGTTATTTTGTGTGCTTTCGTTGAAGGAGTTCTACTGTTATTCAGAAAGGTCTTCAAGTTCTAACCAATCAGGCCCCTGGATGACTGTATCCATCTAATTAAACTTTCTACCATTTCCTTTTGTAAATGTGTGTGTTCACTTCCGTTATGCTATAGAGACTATCCAAGATCACAGACATCAAGAAGTCATCATCTCTTCCCGCAGCTCACACAAATTCTCTCACAAATGTGTTGGCCGCCACTGTCCACTGGGCAGGCCCTGGTGCTGGTGCTGAGATTTTCTGTCGAATGGGACACAGGCAGCACCCTCAGGACGCTCACATTCTAGTGTATGCGATGGGGAACAGCCAGTGAATCCAGCAGAGAGTAAATATCTAATGAACCCTGAAGTGCTCGAGGGTTAATGGGGAGCTCTTCTGTATACAGTGGCCCAGGACAGTCTCTGAAGAGATGACCCATGAATGTGGACCTGAAGAAAGTCAGAGAGGGAGCCCTGAAGACAGCCAGGGTGTGAGTGGAAATGCAGTGCAAAGGCACTGGGGTGAGCCTGCTTCCCATGTTCTAGCACCAGGAAGGAGGCCAGTGTGGGTGGATCAGAGGTAGCTGATGATGACATGATCAAGCAAATCAGTGCAATCGGTTCTTTATTTATTCATTCAGACATCTTCATACTCAAAAACAAAAAAAAGTGTGCTTATAAATGGCCTTGGAGCCAAGAGGTGGTAATACTGTACTCACCGAGGAAGGGCAGAGCCAGCAGTACGAGTGGTCCTGTCTCCTGCTCCGGCGCTGCCAGCTGAATAATGAGCTGGGTCTGGTGGTGTGTTCCCTACAGCGGATGAGATCTTCCCTGCTTCCTGTTTCAAAGGCAGATAAATGCCTATGCACTGAAAGAGCCCAGAGCGTTAGGATGAAGATGGACAAACTACAGTCGGGGTGTGCTGTGACCCCCACTTCCCTAGCACCCTCCAGCAGCTGTCTCAGATCCTCACTTTCTGCAGAACGAAGCTCACCCCTCTTGCTTTTCTCTTGCTCTTGCTCAACTTCCGAAACTGCATCCCTCAGACAACATGCACTCATCGAGCACGCCTGGGAGACATGACAGAGCATGTTTCTCATCGGCGTGAAGTCAACGAGTAAACAGAGAGACGTAACCTCCGTAAAACTAAGAGGCTGGACAATACCGTGAAAAGCTGGACTAACAAAGACAGGTGAAGATAACTACATGCAGTATTAGGACTTTGAAGGAATCCCATAAATCACTGCTTTCTAAACTCGGCTGATTCTAAAAATATCACCCGAAGGAATTGATAATCTACACAAGACCCCTTGGCCCCAGCCCAGAGGGGTTGGGTCAGATTCTCTGGGAAAGAGCTCGGGGAGTCTGCGTTTAAGCTTCCTCCCAGCCATGCCTAAAGATTGGGTCAACTGCAAAAGTATTTGATAGTACTTTACATAATAGATGCCATTTCTGTGTGACTTTCTGGTACACAGCCGGTGTATAAATGAAATGAAACCTGTAGGTTCTTCTTTTATCTTATGCTCCCACTAGGTGAGCACCTTCTGAGATAACTGTAACATTGATGCGATCTTTGGCCTTCTCTGTATGCTGTCTACATTCATGTTTTGCTGAACGGCCCCTTCCAAAACAGGGGATCCTTTTGACCTGTTTCATGTTTCCTGAGCTGCTAAAGACCGGATCTAATGTGATGGCATCCAAGCTTGTGTTTCCGGCTGGACTCAGCTTGCCTGGGAGCTGGGTTGGGGTTAGAAGCCAACTTGTCCCTCTCAGATTGGACACTGTAACCTAGAATTAGCAGGGTTCATTTTTCTGAGGCCTGTCCTTCCATGTTAGATTCTGTTTGCTGCATGTACTCAAAAGTAAAGAGCTCTAGTGTGCTCTTGGCCCCTGGTGAAATGATTTGATAAGATGACAGTCCGCTAGACTCTGCAAAATAAAAAAAGAATTTAGAAATCTGTAGGTAGTTGGGTGCGGTGGTACACACCCATAATCCCAGCTACTTGGGATTCTCAGGCTAGAGGGTTACAAGTTCAAAGCCAACCTGGGCGACTTAGGAAGACACTGACTCAAACTAAAAAATAAAAAGGACTGGAGACGTAGCCCAGTGACAGAGCCCTTGGTTAGTGTGCAAGGCCCTGGCTTCGGTCTTCAGCACTACGAAAACAAACAAGCACACAAAACAGCTACAGTTCGATAAGAACTTTTGTACGTTAAGTTGTCCAATTTACTTTTAAAAATGCTTAGATAATTGAGGCAACTGCTTCAGTTCTTTACGACTTTGGTCTAACTAGGTACAGATTCCAGGTTAAAAAACGAACCCTTGGGTTCAGTAGCATTTTTCCCTTCCCTTCCTTCCTCTGCGCTGAACCAGCAGGCTTTCCCTTCCTCCCTCCTTCTTTACCTTTTCCCTGTCTTTTTCATGTCACTTTTCTGGCACTTTTGCTCCCCTGTTACAAGGTAAGTGTTGAGAGCTAAATAGAAATGGCGCTACAGATAGAGGTGGAGGTGGGTGTTGAGGTCCTGCACTTTGCCACATTCTCTCAGTGTGTGCAGCCCTAGCAATCTGTCCTTGCTACCCGGCCTACAGGTGAGCTGGTGGCAGTGGATGACATCACCCTAATTCCACCCCGGAGAAATGTAGGCATTTTAGAATAAGGAAGGCCCTTTGGGGTCCTCGTTCGACATTCCTGGCAGTCACCTGGGGAGTCCAGGGACTCAGTGGCACACACCGGGCCTCCGCAGAATCCAGGGAGTGGTTGGCTTGGCACAACGGTGCAGGAAAAATTCCCCAGCGAGCAGCAACAGGCTGTGGAGGAATTTCTGCTTTGGCCCCAGGACTGGTGGGTTGCTTAGTGACAGCGCCTGCCTGAGTGTCTCGGCTTCACTGGCCTTTGCATTTAGGCTTCCAAGAGTCCCACCGACCCTCTGTCCCCCTAGCCTGCAGGACTCCATGCCTTGAGGAGGCCCAGCTCCTTGGATTGGTCCCATTTATTTTTCCCTTCGCAGAAAAGTACATTTGTCCCGTTCTGCTTTGTTTTGAGTACCGGGCATTGAACCCAGGGCCTTGCCCTTGTGCACGCTACAACCACACCACATGCCCAGCCCCGAGTACATTTTGTGCTGTGACTGCTCCTTGTTCTGGTGCTGGGTATCCAACCCAGGGCCTCCAACACTCTAGACAAACGCTCTAAGGCCCCCAGCCCTGCTAAGCTGCTAAACAGCAAATGGTAAGCAGAGCTGGACTGTCCTGGGCTGGGCAGGATGGAAGCAAGGAAGATTTTCTCAGGGGATTTTTACTGTACCCCCCACCGCCCCAGCCTACTGCGATGATATTTGGAAGTACCTTCGCTTGCTGTGTTTGGTGAGGAATAGTAATACTGTACACACAGTACCATCTGAATTGCCTCAGCCAGTACCAACTACACACACATTTTAAGAGTATCATGGAAAATGCCAGAAAAGCCAGTAGGTTTCAGGGGATTCCTTCTCAGCCTAGAAGCCCCGGTGGTGAAGATCGCGGGTGCATTTGAATGGGCGTTCAGGGGGAGGCGATTGCTGCCTGGGGTGGGGGGAAGAGCCTTATTTTACTTTGTAATGACCCCGGCCCAGAGCTTTGTGGGGTGCACGTTGAAAGTGATCTGATTTCACTCCCTCCCAAGGAAATGCGTCTTTTACAAGTCTGAACGTCGCTGCCCTCCCCGCAGAAAGGGAAAGCAGGATTTGCTGGCTGCCTCTGTTGGGATAGACACTTGCGTTTCATCCCTACCCGAAAGTACAAATTCAGCCGACCTCTGAGGGGCCGCAGGCTCTGCGTTTTTAAACACCGTGAATTTGCACTAGTTTTTTGTTTTGGTTTTTGTTTGCTTTTGTGGTGCTGTGGACGCAAGCTCCGTGGCACTGAGCTACACCCCAGCCCCGCCACAGGCTTTCCTCGGAGGGGCCAGGGCGAAGCGAGGTGGGGAGGGAGACGGAGACCGAGCGCGCGGGAAGAGAGCGCCTAGGCCTCCCGCAGCTGCCGAGCTTTCCTGCGGCGGGGCGCGTCGTCTGGGCTGCGGAGCCGGGGTCTGGCCGGGGTGACTCGTGGCTGACTCCTGGGGGAACTGGCTTTGCTTTGAACTCACAGCCCGAATCCTCCCGCTAGGACAAACCTGGAGGTCACTGCAGCCGGGCTGGTCGCCAGGTTTAGGATTTGGAGCTGAAAGTTTCAAAAGAAAAGCGTCCTGCCCGGGTCGTTCCGTGTTGCACGGTTTGGAAAATCGGACGTTCGGGTCGGAGAGGCGCGCTCTCCGGTCTCTGCGCGGCGGCTGCAGGCGGGCAGCGGCCGGGGCCGGCGTGCGCTCCGCTCCCGGGCCGGCCCTCGGGGCCTGACTTTTCCAAGAAGCAGGGACAAAGTAGCTCTTGCTTCTCTGCGGTGCTGCCCGGGAGGCACTGCAGCTGAGCTCACAGGCTGCGCCCTTCGCGTTCTGCATCTGGAAAGGGAGCTGCCGGGAGCGATGCCCGAGGACGGTCACCTCCCCGAGGTCCTCCTCCCGCCCGCCCCGCCGCGCCTCCCCCTTCTTACTTTCCTCGTCCTCTTCCCCGCTGCTCCTCCTCCAGCTTGCGCCTCCTCTTTTAACCCCTCCTGCTCCTTCCTTTCCCGCTCTCCCTTTTTGCTTTCCTGCTAGTTCTCCCCTTCTGCCTCCTCCTTCGCGCCCTTGCTCCGCCCTCTCCTTGCCCTCCTCCCTTTTAACAGCGCGCGACCGGGACCCTTCACTCTCAGAGTGTTGCCCCCGCAGTCCGGGGAGGGAGAAAAGTACTCAGAAAAGTATTCAGTGATATACAAGGAAGGACAGCAGCCGGGCTTCAGGTCAACACCAGCTGATACATTATTCCATTTTGTGGCGCCAGCTGTCACTCATTCAGGTCCGGAGTGAAACTTGCTGCCTGCTGTAGAGCTGGAGCGGTAGCCCTTAGTTTTCTCGGGGCGCCCGCCCACGAAAGTTCTGGTGTTGAAGGAATTATGAATAGTTCAAATTCTATGTACCCTCTGCACAGCAGACTTTTAATTACCTTTTTAGATGTTTTGGAGTCTTTGTGTATGTTTTTTCTTTAAAAACTAAGCGTATCTTTCATATTTTATTAAAAGACAAACGCCACAATTGCAGTGTGGTCACAGAGCCAGGGAGGTCATTCACAAATGTTCTACAATGGGTCTGGGGATTTAGCTCAGCGGCAAAAGCGCCTGCCTAGCAAGCGCAAGGTCGTGAGTTCGGTTCCCGGTACCGGAGAAAAACCACAAAAAACAAACAAAAAACAAACAAACAAACAAATGTTCTACAAGTAGCTGATAAACACCCGCAATCATACTTAGGCTTGTAAAAATCCAAGGAAGACAGATTGTATAATGTAATATATTTCCCCAATGGAATATAGTCCCCCAAATGTAATATATTTGGAATTCTCCAAATTCCCCTGTCAGATTGATCCAGATCAGCTGAACTAGGTTTGGGGAAAATAGCAATAGTGCAAGTTTATAAATGACTGAACTTCTGGAAGGGAGGCTGGCAAGCTCGGAAGTGGGTCTAGTCCTTAACCCCCAAATTCCAATTTTAGGGATTTATCCTAATGAAATAGGGACAAGTGCAGCCTTCACTTGGGAAGTGCAAAATCAGAAAACCCTGAAACGTGGGTGCAGAGGGTGGGTCAGAAGTCAGAGCTCAGTGAGACAAGGACGCAAGGCCGGCATCTAAATCACATCATGGAAAAAGCACTCAGTGCTGTGAGAAAGCGTTCGTGCTCTGCAGCAGTTCATAGCATAGCAAAGGAAGCGTGCGCACACACACACGCACACACTCACTCAGAGGTTCCAAGCAGACTCCTCGAGGGGTAGACACTTTTGGGTCTTCCCTATGCACCTTCGTGCAGTACTGTGTGGTGAAGTCAGTTCGAGGTGCCTTTGTCATCAAGGAGGAATTTTAGAGCGTATCTGTAAGCACAGTCACTGTGCCACGGAGACACTGAGAATGAACACACATGCACCCTAAATCATGCACAGAGGCGGCCTGCTTGCTCGGCCCTGGCAGCAGGGACCCCGCCCGGATGCCTCTCTCCTCTGCCCACGTGTGCTTGGTGACCCACTGCCTCCATCGGGATGCTCTTGGGGACCTTGGGCTTGGCTTCGACTGCACTCAGCCCTTTTGAAGAACAAGAAGCTGGGTCGTAACTTCCTTTCCAAATGAAAAGCAGGGAGGCAAGTCTGCATTTCTACGATTTTCTTAATAACTAATTTTTCCATAACAGACTTACTTCTGCCCAGAGGGCTGAGCCTGTGACTCATCTAACTGCCCCTTCAAGCTGGCGCATAGACCATGCCAGCTGAGCCCGAAGCCCTGCAGTCGCTGTGGGCAGCTATCAGGAAGCACTGTCGCACAAGGACTTGCTTATCAGCCCATCCAAAGGGCCCCCACCACAGGGAACAAAAAGTACGCGATGTGAACTCACTGGAGAAACCGGCTGTGCAGAATCACTGAGGCTTAAAACAAGTAGAAGGGGCTGGATATGGTGCTGCACACTTAAGAGTCCCAGCTACTAGGAGGCTGAGACAGGAGGATCACAGGTTCACAGGCAACTAAGCAAGATCTTGTCCCAAGTAAAGAGGGCTGGCGATGTTGCTCAGTGGTAGAGCGCTTGCTTAGCATGCGCAAAGCTCTGTTTTCAACCATATTACTGCAAAAAACAGGAAGTAAACTTCTATAAGATGAGAACACAACTAAAGCCATCTCTAGCTGTAGAAATCAACAGAGCTTGCAAAACAAAAACTAGTAGTTATGCCGGGCATGGTGGCGCATGCCTGTAGTCCCAGCACTCGGGAGGCCAAGGCAGGAGGATCATTGGGAGTTCGAGGCCAGCCTGGGCTACAAAGTGAGCGCAAGTCCAACCTGAACTGCATATCAAGACATTGTCTCCAAAAAAAAGACAAAAAAAAAATCCCAGAACCTAGTAGTTGTACTTTTTAAGCTGTGTATTCAAAAGTGAGGTTTGTGATCACCTCCTTCTCCCATTCCCACCTTTCTCTTGAATACTCCATGCAGAAATCCGTCAGTCTCAAACATTGTACCTTGTATTTTTGAAGACCTCTTATGTTCTGTGGAGGTTGAGTCTCTGAATAATAGTGCCCGTTCTTCGGCAGTCTTTCTCTTTTTACCCTACTGTCCATCTTAG